TTATTGTTATTATTATTATTAATATTATTATCTATCTAGACAGGGCACCAGTACAGCTTTAGTGGTACATCTCCTCAACCTCAAAGGTATGCTGCTTAAGCATAATTAACATTTTAAAATGTTTCCTATAACAAAGCAAATTTTCACTTATTGAGTTCAGTTACACTTTAACAGGAAAAACATTCTGTTAACATGTTATTCTATTAACATGGCCAGGATTAAATATAAGAATAAAACATAAAAAAACCTTTTTTTCATATATAAATATGAAATATAGTATATATAATAACATATATTATGTTAATGTTTTGTACTCTACCTTTAAAGCTAGGACACATCTGTGTATTTTTGGTACTTTCCATTAAGTGCCTCCTCCTTTAAATTCTCATTGACCAATCCCTATGGTGGGCTGCATTAGAAGGCCATAAGAATGTTCAGAAGGCAGGAGGGGAAGCCAAGTTCCAGCACTTTGTGAAAGTGCAGAAACTTTGCTTATCAGTAAGGCCCATCATTAAGTTGTATATGCAGGATTTTTTAAGCTGTTCCAAGTATGTGCAGGCACATCTTGGTTTTATATTTCTAGATACTCACTAGTAAGAGTCTCTTTAATCTCCTTCTTTTCTGTCTCCATAGCCATCTGTCAAACAAAGCCTGTTGTTTACAGAGCTCAGTAGCTCACCCTGAAATTTATAAAAGAGATGCATTCAAGGATTTATTTAGCTATTTAGCCAAACTAAGCCTCAAAGCAGGCAGCATCTGCTGTACTGTCTTTTTAAATAACCCATGGGGCTTTTTAATAAGTAATAAGATTTTATTACATTTTAAATGCAGAGTATACAAATCAGACAATGGGGGGGCAGAACATGAAAAGGGGAAGAGGAAAAAAACTTTTTAAACAGAGTTAAATATTACAAAGGTAACATAAAATAATACAATTGCAAAATTGCAAAAGAAAACTTTGTTAGGCAACAGAGGAGATTGTTTTTTCCATTATCTCGCCAGAATGCAGACACAGTCCTGTGTGGGATTAAAACATATGACAAGAAATTTCATCTAAAAGTTATTAGGAGTCAAAACTAAAAAAAAGGGGTCCACAAAAATTAAAAAATGAGTGCTGTATAAAAAAAATAGAGAATTTTTCAGAGGGGGAAGGGGTGGTAATTAGATGGTGATTAAGGGAGAGTATGAAAAAAGAAGGAGGGACAAAAAAAAGGTATCAATGTCAAAGAGAAGAATTGTGTAGCAGGGGATAAAGGGGGAGGACAAGAAGATGTGTAGTTTTCCCGGGATATCAAGTGATATATCATGTAAGTAAGTAAAAGAATGTAGGTCATGTTTGTAATTTCAACGTTAGTGGACCAGTTACAGGGATCAAAGAGAGCTCAAGTGATCAGAGTCCATGTACAAAAGTTAGGGGTTCCAGATTTCAGCGAAAAAAGATTGTCTATCACGCAGGTACACTGTCAGCTGTTCCAAGTGCATAATGTGGCATAATTCTCTTATTGTCACGGCTGCGGGGGGTGTGCGGTGTGGAGCGCAACTGCGGAGGGGATTTGCAGGAGGTGTGGAAAATTAGGCTTCTCAGGCGTGAGTCTCAGGCGTCGCTCCCAGTCTTAAGGGGGAGTTTGAGAATCTTGCATCACAGCCAGTGAACAAATGAAAATAGAATTAAGGCTATTTACTCATAGCCTTCCAGATAACGTTATTAGCTTAGTCAAGGTGCGATAGAATAAACTTGCTGTAGCTAGGTACCCTGGTATTGATAAGCAATTAAGTCTTCCCAGTATTATGCATCAATTTGTATAGTCCAGCATGGGTGCAGGCATATGGGAGAACTGACAGTCTCTATTAAGGCTCCAACTGGAGCGATACTTGCGGTTTTGGGAGCGCTTGCAGCTGAGTCCGGGTGCTGAGTGGTCCGGCAAGTGGTGAAGGGTTCCAGGCTTCTCTTGGTTCAGGAGGCAGCAGGCGTTCTGACTGCAATTGTAGAACGCCATGCTGCCTCAGCTGGGGCTTTAAATAGCCCAAGGATGTGGGAGGAACCGCCGGCCGCAACGAGCGACTTCAGCGTTCCAGCGTGGAACGAAAGCCGCTCGCCTCACAATCAGGAAGTCGAGCGGTTTCCGCGTTCCACAGTGGAACGCGGAGCAGCCGTCACAGCAGCCAGCCTGACCGAGGCGACCTGGCCCGGAGATGGAACGTCACACTTATCCACTCTCCCGTGGAGGGAACCTGAGTCAAACCCCAGTGTCTAGGTATGAGAGAATGTGCAGCAGATACAAAGAATCATAGCAGACTTTTCTTGAAATGGGAGATAGAAAAAGGAAAAATGCTATTTTTGGAGAGGGGGTTAGGGATGACCCAGTTACTTGTCGATATGTGGCAAAAACATTTTCCCAGAAAGGTGAAATCCATGGGCATGTCCACCAAATATGATAGATAGAGCCTATTTGAGAATTACAACACCAGCACAATGGCGTACAGTCGGGGAAATCTTATGCGTGAAAAGGTATGCAGATTGGACTTCTTCATCAGTGAAATTCTGATCAAAATCACGTTCCCAAGCTTTCTTAAAATAAGGTCTTGATAAGGATTGTGTGACTATGAGCAGACAGTATAATAGGGAGATTACTTGGGTGGGCGGGGAAGGGGATAAACCAATGGTCTCAAATGAAGTGAGGGATCTGTGAAGGTTAGTTTGAGAAAGGAGTGAGAGGTAAAAGGCTCTAATTTGAAAGTATTGGAGTCATTGGCCTGATATATTAGTCCCTTCAGGAAGTAATTTGATTAATGATTTAAGAGTGTGTGTAGAAAGAGCTGTAATAATGGGGGATGGCTTAGTCCTTTTGTCCAAGATAGTACTACAGAAGTTGAAATTTCACCTGGAGGAAACAGAGGATTATCCATAATTGGGGTTAGGGGGCCTAGGCATTGAGATAATTTATTATCTTTAAGTAGGGCGTCACTAACGCGCAATAGGGGAGTTACAAAGAACGGCATAAGAGTTTGACGGGGTCGGGAGGGTTTGATCCA